CACTTAGCCAATTTGGATCCCGCACCGTTTCGGGTCACTTAGCAAACATTTTTGCAAGTTACTTGGCCAATTCAGGGTTCAGGATTCTATGATGGCCTGAAGGGTCTTGGGCCTAGGGTTTAAGGGTTTTGAATTTCGGGTTTAGGGTTTAGGGATTTAAGGTTTGGGGTTTAGGGGTTTTGGATTTAGGGTTTAGGGATCTAAGAATTGGGGTTTAGGGGTTTTGGATTTAGGGTTTAGGGTTTAGGGATTCAAGGTTTGGGGTTTAGGGTTTTGGATTTAGGGTTTAGGGGTTTTGGATTTAGGGTTTAGGGTTGTTTAGGGTTTAGGGTCTTTTGAGATTTAGGGTTGTTTAGGGTTTAGGGTTGTTTAGGGTTTAGGGCTGTTTAGGGTTTAGGGTTGTTTAGGGTTCAGGATTGAGGGTTGTTTAGGGTTTAGGGTTGTTTAGGGTTTAGGGGGTCTCGGGGTCCCTTAGCCAAAACGTGCAAAGCGACCCCCAAAAAGATTGCTAAGCGACCCAGAAACATACTTGCGAAGCGACCCCTTTACCTAGGAGTAGGGTGCGGAAGGCTCAGGGCTTAGAGGCTTAGTGGCCTGACTCTCCACACACACAAGCTGCTGGAAGCTCCCATGATTAAATGGAGGCATTGGCTCTAGAAATTCAAGAAATTCAACCCGAATCCTGTCGTCACACTACCAAAACCCACAAATACAGTAAGTTTGAGAGAGCTTGAATCCAAATCCTGTGTCTTGGGAACCCTCCAGCAACTGTGTAAATATTCAATAACAAACCCCAACACCTGTTCCAAAGGTTTAGGCCCCTGCATTATAACTGATCTACACCCTGTAGCACCCTCGACCCCACTACATGCTCGTCTCCAAAAAACAGGGACCTAATGTAGACCCCAAAATTCTATCATCCTCGTCATGAGTACATTCCAAAAGGAGACCCTGAAGAATCCCAATTGTTGGGACCCAAAAAAGGTACCCCTAAGTTTGGGAAACCCTTAACCCTAAACCGTCCCCTAGAATCCCTTTAAAGATATCCCTAATTTTGGGAAATCCCCACACAGGACCTCCCCCGTCAGAAAGCAAAAGCAAGCTGCAAAGGCCTTGGGGGCGGCCCAGGCCCGGGCGGCGACCGCCATGAAGGCGGCATGAGCTTTTCTGGGTTGCTGAAAAAAAGTACTCTAATATGGGGCTATAGTCAAAAATTGGGTTTCCCTGCTATAGAAATCAAATTTAAGTTCCTTCACAGTAACCCAGTCTGAGGGCTTGGAGTTCAGGGCTTTAAGATTTGGGGGTTGGGGTCTGGGGTGTACGCTGGACGGTTCGGGTTTAGGGTGTAGCGTGTAAGGGCTGAGCTTGGGCTTGAGGGTTTGGAGCTTAGGTCTTCCGCTTACATTCTTGATCTGGGTTTTGAGGTTGGGAGTTTCAATTCTAAACGTAGCAGAACTTAGGTTTTGGGGGATAAGGCGCGGAAAGCTAAGGTTCAGAGTTCGGGGTTCAGGATGCAAGGTGGCAAAATTGAGTGTTTAGAGGTGTTTACTGTTTAGCCTTCACGGCTTCAGAAATCACTGTGTTGGGTTTCCCGGTTTAGGATCAAGGGTGGTAGAAAACTGCGCAGAGCGACCTCATCTTGGCTCAGGCCCTCTTTGCTGGCCTAATCCTAAACCCCACACCCTGCACAAAGATGGCTAGCTGAGCAATCAACATGATTTAGTAATGTATCAGGTGTGAAGGATGCTTGGTAATCCGGCCCCAGAGCAAAGACTCTCTGACAGTCATGTGATAGCAGAGTTGTTGGTGTCAGGCTTGGGGTAACGAAAACACGATAGGAGCAAGAACCCGGGATAGCTAGGTGCTTCAAAGAAGGCAAAATCTCCTGCCTGAGATCTACACGTCTCAACACGAGTCTGGAACCCCATTGGCTGTATAGCCACCTCTTGAACGCATGATGGGAATGTGTTATGGGTGTGCAAAATTATGCGCGGCTGCGTATGGGAAGATCTGCAGCTTTGGTCTTCCACCTTTCGGGGGTACACCTCACACCTTGTTGAATCCCGTGTTTTGGTTCGGCTGGGGTTCAGGGTTTGGGACCTAAGATCTGGGGTTGTGGGCCTAAATTGTTGGGTTGAAGATTTATCACTAGAAGCATTACAACCGTTCGTTCCCCTTTCGGTGAGTACGACTCTGTCTTGTGGCTTTGGTGGATTCGGACTTTGGGTGTGAAGAATGACAAGGTGACGGGTCGTGACCAGAATTGGGGCGCTCAAGGTGCGACAGGTCGAGGGTAGCATCCGGATCAGAGAGTTCATGCTGCCAGGGCTCAGAGCTCCAGTCCCAAGATGCGACACCCTAAACCCTATCCCTAAACTTAGGGTCATGACGGTCAGGAATTCTTTAGCCAAAACCGTATGGCTTGGAGGTTGCTCCGGTAGGAACCCCTCCCCTGCTACAGTGTAAGGGTGCAACTTCAGATCGGTCTGCGAAAGGCCATTCACGGATCTTGCGATGTCTTTGCGCAGCTCTTCAGTTGTACACATTCCGCGCAGCACTTGACACTCTTTGGGGCGTAGAGTGAAAAAGGGACGAAGCCTGTGCTGACTCCTTGTGTTTTGCGGCCATACGGCCTTGTGACCTTTCATGGTAAGCGGAGCCCGGTCTTGATCGCGACTGGGCGAGCAGTGCAAGCCTCAGGGCCAGCACTAGTGATCCAGGGAAGATATGGAGAAGCCCGTAAAATCCGATAGTGGGCTTGAACGCACATACAAAGATGGGATCCCCATCTATGATGGCACACCAGAGATGCTGCCGTACTATCGTGAGGAGGCCTTGAATTACATGTTCACCTTTGAGACCCATAAGAGGTATCTTGCTGGGCCTAGATTGGCCAAAGAACTTCAAGGCGTGGCTCGCACGATAGTCCGGAAGAAGAACCTGCAGGACCCTCAATGGCTGGCACAGCCCCGAGGAGTGTATGCCCTTCTTAGCTGCCTAGAGAGTGCCATTGAGCGGCCCTCACTGGTTCAGGCGTCACAGCTGGTGAGCAGATTCTTCTTTCAGATGAAGAGGAAGAAGCAAGAGACGATGACACAGTGGATCAATCGTCATGCCGAGAGCTTGTGGGAGGCCAGCCGCTCCCTCAAGCGTGTGAAAAGTGAGTGTGGAGGCCCTTCTAGGACGGGGCGACGTACATCATCAACTTCCTCCACCTCACGGCATCCTGGCACCGGCACGGCGCCGGAACAGGAGACAGAAGCAGCAAGCCATTCCGAGCACCATATCTATGATGACAATGGACTGCTGTTTGAGGATGAGGAGGCCGCCGCTCCAGCAAGCAGCACTTCCAACACAGACTGGAATGATGGAGCATGGTCCAACTGGAATGCTTGGCAGACCAACTGGGATTCCTGGGGCCGCACCGACTGGTGGCAGTCAGAATATGCTCCCCCTTCCACATGGCATATGGAAGAGGAAGACTTCCTCCCAGATTTTCTGGTAGGCTTCCTGCTGTTACATCGCAGCGGCCTGGATGCGCATGAGCGGGCAAATGTACTGGCAGCCATCCGTGGGCAATTTTCAGTTGCCTCAGTGTCTCGAGCTCTCCGTGAACAATGGTCTGATGAGGATCTTCAACGACGGGATCGACGCAAAGAGCAGGCCATGTTCATGGACTATGATGCCCAGGACATCTCAGATGGCGAGTACAACTATGAGGCCACGGATCTGGCGCCAGATCCGAATGAAGAACCAGAAGCCTTTGCGGCCTTCCAAGAGGAATAGAGCCGCATTGATGAGGCTCTGGAAGCCATCCAGCAGCACAAGCGCACCCTCAAAGACGCGAGGTGGCGCCAACACCAAGTGAAGCTGAACCGTCGCTTCTTTCCACTCAAAGGAAAGGGCAAGGGAGAGTTCAGTGGAAAAGGGCAGCGGGATGCAAAAGGCCTGAAATGCCTGAAGTGCGGGGGCCAACACGCCACACACACTTGTCCCCGGAAGTCGGAGACAGCCAAGGTTGCGGAAGAATCCGCCGAGATTGTGTGTTTCTCGCGGCGGAGCACAGCCTTTCAGTTCAGGCGGCCTTTGTCACACACCAAGAGGCTCTGGAACGTGGCATGGGCATAGTGGATTGCGGCGCCACGTCAAGTTTGGCGTCCGTGGACGCTCTCGAGGCCATGAAGAAGAACCTTGCCAACTACGGCCAGGACCGTGTGGAAGTGAATCCCAATGTCCGTCCCACATTCAAGTTCGGAAACGGCCAGCGCAAGGAGTGCTTGTCGACTGTGGAGCTCCAAGTGGACTTGAAGGATCAGATGGGAAAGATGCAGCTTCACGTGCATGACACACCGCAGCAGCCTGCATTGATTTCCGTGAAGGCTCTGAAGAATCTAGGGGCCGTCATAGACTTCTCTTGCGGACAGTGTGTACTATCTAAAGTTGACAAGCATGCCGTGATCACTCTTGAGACGGCCGAAAACGGCCACCTACTTATGCCGCTTGCGCAGAACATTTTTGATCAGTCCAGCAGGCGTGAGAAGCCCTGCCTTGGACTGCTTGCCGAGTAGGGATATGACTCCCTTGGGGATCATGGACAAAAAGCCCCGGGGAGTCCTGAGCCTGAATGTTTGCACACATGTTCAGCCTGCGGATTGCTTGCAGTTTCACGAAATTCTTGTACATGTTTGTTCTGTGATCATGTTGGTTTGATTGATCCTATTGTTGATGGTAAGACGCGATGTGATGTCTTTGAAGTTTCGCACACCATCAGGGCAACACAAGTGCTTGAGTCAGCAAACGGTCAGTGTTCTCACCATGACCTACGGCATCTTTTGGCTCAGCCTTCGACAAGGTCTCCTTCAAGTGTTCCCTCAAGCTCCTCGACATCGGTGCAGCCTAGCGCGGACCATGTCCACCAAAGCCGATATCCAGAAGAAGCTCCAGGAACTAGGCGAGGCAGTGCCAGAGTCGTGGACGCTCCTGCAGATGAAGGGTCGTCTCTACGAACTCAAGGAGGAGATGAAAAGTGGTGCTCTGAAGACTCTGGCCAGCGAGCTCAAGGCGCTCAAGAAGGCGTCAGGCAAGAAGGACAACCTCCGCAACTTCTTCCGCGAGAATGGCCTGGAGTACGAGGACAACTGGACCATCCAGAAGATGTTCAACCACGCCGAGATGAAGATCACCCTGAAGTACCCACCAACCGATTCAGATGTGGTGGGCTTCGGAAAATTCGGAGATATGACGTATGCGGCAGTTTTGGATCACCATCCTTCGTACTGCCAGTGGATCCAGAAGACCCAGAAGGAGTCCGATTCGCCGCATTGGCGATTGACTCGCCTGAGCACATGGCTAACGTCTGTGGATGCTGCCGAGCTGATCAGCAGCCCACAGCCAGCTACGCAGACTCCAACAAGGACGACGCCGAGCCCTCGACGAGTTCATCGCGACCTTCGCTCAACTGTCAAGCGCGGGAACTCGCGATGTGACCGAGGAGCATCGCCTTGCGATGAAGGAGTTGGCCGATGCGCAGGCCAAGATTGCGAAGCTCAACCAGGAGAAGGAGGAGCTCGAGCACCAGATGCTGGAGAGTCGAGCCCCAGGGAAGCATCGACGGGAGACCTAGACGTCATGGAAGCTGAGGATGAAGCCCTTCATGCTTGCGTTGTTCAATCTTGTCATTCCGGTCACAAATTTCTTTCCCATCAATGGCGAGAACATCGTAATCCCTATAGCGAAAGCTTTCAGAATCTCAGTCACCTTGATAGGCCATTGATCATGGAAGTGGCTTGTGAACCTGATAGCCTCATTGGACAGGAGGCCATCAAACAATTTGGCGCCGATGCTTCAATACGCTGCTCCTTGTATAACGGTTTTGATCTTACGGTCCCCCAAGGGGTTGAAGGGGTTAAGGCTATGATTACTGAAAGGAGACCCCTTAACGTTTGGATTGCTTGTGATTGTGGACCTTATTCCCCCATGCAACGTATCAACAGGAGAAGCCCTGAACAGATTGAACGTCTCAAGGAGAAGCGTGCGTATGCAGAGGCACAGTATCGAGGTGGCATTGAAGTGGCTCATCACGCGCAGCTTTGTGGTGCACAGGTTCATTTTGAACTTGCAGAACCTTGTGAAGCATGGGACCTAGATTTCATTGAACAGTTTGTTCATGAATGTGGTCTTCACAAGGTCACGTGTAATGGCTGTGCCGTTGGTCTTCGTGTTGGTGCTTCACAACAGTTGTCCTGTAAGGGTTGGACTGTGGCTACTTCTTGCCAAGCTATGCTCCAACACCTTCATCTTCCGTGTCAGCGCAACCATAAAAGTACTCCCCTGGAAGGTAGTGAGCTTAGGCAAACGGCCTTTTATACCCCAGTGTTTGCCAAGAAAGTTGTGGAAGCCATGCGCCGACAGGAGTCTTGGAGTTTACTTGTCCAGGAGTTGCAACAGGAGCCCCAGAATGCAATGACCACAGTGCCTGATGTGGATTGTGCCTTGGCTGGGGATCGGAGTGTTTCTCATGAAGAAAAGGAAAGGATTCTCAAGCTTGTCAAGCACATCCATAGCGTTTCTGGACACGGCAGTTTGCAGACTCTTCTCCAGGCTTTGGCTAAACGTGGGGTTCCCAAACATGTGTTGGAAGTTGCCAAGGAGTTTAGATGTAGCATTTGCGAAGAAAGGGTTAGGACCTCCCCTAGAAGACCTGCTACGTTAATGACTGTTCCCAAAAAGTGGCATACTCTCCAAACTGATGTTGGCACCTGGACCCATCCGCACACCCGTAAAAAGTATAAGTTTGTTCTTTTTATTGATGAGGGATGTAGGTATAGAACGGGGAAGATCCTGTTCCAGGACCAAAATCGTCAAGCATCTTGGGATGTCATTAAGCAAAGCTTGGAGGAGCACTGGATTGCCCATTTTGGCCAACCGGAGGTCATCAGGGGTGACTCAGACGGAGCTTGGCGCAACACTGAAGCCGATATCTACTGTAGTCGTCGTGGAATTCTTTTGGATTTTGTTCCGGCTGAAGCTCACTGGCAGGTGGGCATTGTGGAATCTGCGATAAAATCCACTAAGGCAATTTTGAATGCTTTGTGTGAAGAGTTCCAGGACATGTCTGTGGAGGAGTGCTTTAGTAGGGCTTTGTGGGCCAGCAATTCACGTGACAATCATTGTGGATACTCTCCGATTCAACATGCACTTGGTAGAGCTCCGGACGAGTGGGGTAGGATGTTTGAGTCCGAAGTCAAGACGTTTCCGATTCATGCCCAGGAAATGGTTGATGGTGGTTTCGGTAGTAATGTTAAAGCCATGGCTACTGCTGAACAAGCGTTCCTTAAGCATCAAGCCGAACAAAGAATTGCTAGAGCCACCGCTGCTGGTAAAAGACCCCTCAAGTCGTTTCTTCCAGGTGACCTTGTATTCTATTGGGGACGTCAGGTTGCAGGGCGCGAGAAGGAACGTGGCTTCTCAATAGGAAGCTTTGTCGGACCTGCTCGGGTGCTTGCAGTTGAAACTAGGTCGGATGAAGCCGGCAACTTAAGACCTGGTAGCTGTGTTTGGCTTCACCGTGCGGGACGGTTAATCAAAGCAGCGCCCGAGCAACTTCGAGCAGCAAGCGAGCGAGAGCATGCAATCGAAGAATTGCGTGGACCGGTTGAAATCCCCTGGACCATCAGTTCTTTAGCAACACATTCCCATGCCAAGACCTATGATGATATCACAGGAGATGTTCCCACGGATATGGAGTGGGAGGAAGCTGTCCAAGAACCTGTCTTCACCTTTAGGATAAGGGGTAAGAAGCGTGTAGGGGCATCTCAACCTTCCACTCGTTCCACGGCACCACGAAAGGAACCTGATGAGGACTCCGCGCTCCAAGCTACGAACACCTCCGCTTCCAGTAGCTCAACTCCGTGTTTTGAGATCGAGATCCTCCTTCCGGACTCTAAACGGGGCCTTAAGAAGTTTCTTCAAAACCCTGAAGCTTATATGGTTTCCCAGATGAAGCGTAAGCAAGTTGAGGTTCGTGAAAAGTATCTTTCCCCGGAAGAGAAAGAACAATTCAGGCAAGCTAAGGCCAAAGAAGTTCGTAGCTTCCTTCGTGCGCAGTGCTTTGAAATGGTTCCAAAGGAGAAACAACCTTCCTCTCACGAAGCAGTTGGCATGCGATGGGTGCTAACTTGGAAAAATGCCGAAGATCCCCAAGACCCCTCTAAGAAAAAGGCAAAGGCTCGTGCCGTTGTCTTAGGCTATCAGGATGATCAGTACGAGTACCGACAGACCTCATCACCCACAGTTTCCCGTACGGGTAGGCAAGCCTTCCTCCAACTTTGCGCATGGAGAAAGTTCACCATCGCCAAGGGGGACGTCACGTCCGCTTTCCTACAGGGATCTGAACTGGAAGATGATTACTGGGTCATTCCAGTACCAGAGATCTGTCATGAACTTCAAGCTGATCCTGGAGAAATTATGCGTCTTAAACGTGCCTCTTATGGACTCGTAGGAGCCCCCTTACATTGGTATAAATCGGTTTGCAGCTATCTGGCCTCCTTAGGGTATACTCGCCTAAAAGCTGATCCCTGCATCTGGTGTCACCATGACGAGAAGGGCCAGCTCAGATCCATAATTTGTGCCCATGTGGATGACTTTCTTTTCGGTGGAGCTCCGGGTGATTCTGTACATGCCTCCTTGGTAGCCAAAATTCGGGAACATTTTTCTTGGGGTAGTTGGGAGTTAGGATCTTTTACACAGTGTGGTGTTCGTATTCAACAGCATCAGGATTTTAGCATCACACTTGATCAGAAAGATTATGTGAACGATCTTCAGGTTGTAAAGCTTTCTAGGGATCGCGAGAAACACCGAGAAGCTCCCATTACAGATTGGGAGAGACATCAGCTCCGAGCAGTCCTAGGAAGCCTCAGCTGGCACACCGGACAAACTGGATTCCAATACTCAGCCGATGTGGGCATTCTCCTTTCTAGTGTATGCAACGGTACTGTGGAAGATATTGTCAAGACCAACAAGCTTGTTCGGGATATCCAGCACAGTCCGGGCAGCCTGAAGATTCACAGTTTTCGCGATGCGGAATGGCTAGATGCAGTTTGCTGGGCTGACGCAGCTTGGGCAAACCGACCAGATGGCAAGTCTAGCACTGAAGGGATTGTTCTGGGTTTTTCTTCCCCCAACTTGGCTAAGGGAGCTTTAGCACCGGTTTCGCTCATGCTGTGGAGGTCGAGCAAGATCGACCGCACTTGTAGGTCACCGGCTTGCGCAGAGACGAAGGGTGTTGTCAATGGCGAAGATGATTTGTATCATTTGCGTTATTTGTGGAGTGAAATAAATCACCCTGAAACTTTGACTAAGTTGTGGCACCCTGATAGCATTGTGGACTTGACCTCAGAGGGCTTAGCAGAACCCCCATGAAGCCTAAGTGATTCGCAGAATATCTGCTTTTCTTCTTCGCTGAGGCCTGGCGAACACCGGCCGGGCGGCTGAGCTGCAGATTTGCCGTGACGAAGTCTTGGTGAGTTTAAGGGTTAGGGTTTGTGGTGGGAGCTGAGAAACGTTCAGACCTGGAGGCCATTGCTATCAAAGAATCCCAGACCAACACCCATCTTCAGCTTCGCTGGGTGCACTCCGATGCGATGCTCGCCAATTCGTGGACAAAACCCTCAGAAAAATGGCAAGTGAATTTGTACCTACAGTTACAACAACACTGGCGCATTGTCCATGATGTGAACATGAAGTCAGCTCGTCGCCGGAAAGCTGAAGGTCTTGATCCGATGGCTAGTGATGTTGCTAAGATGGTGTGATGTTTGTGGTTTCCTTTCTTGTTTCAAACATGATCACAGAACTCGGGAAAACTTCTAATTTCTTTTAGAAGTTAGGGGAATGCAACTTCAGATCGGTCTGCGAAAGGCCATTCACGGATCTTGCGATGTCTTTGCGCAGCTCTTCAGTTGTACACATTCCGCGCAGCACTTGACACTCTTTGGGGCGTAGAGTGAAAAAGGGACGAAGCCTGTGCTGACTCCTTGTGTTTTCCGGCCATACGGCCTTGTGACCTTTCAAAGGGTGCAGGTCGGCATCTGCCATGGCCAAGAGTTTCAATTTATGTTAAGGCCTCAAACTGAACTCATCGCTACTTCAAATGCACAACAGGTTTCCAAATAGGATTGGCCTGCTGTTAGAATGTCATTTGGGGGGTAGGGTTGGTGGTGCCTAGGGGAAAGGAATACTGCTTTGGAGTGCTACGACGAGCAAAGCAGAGAAAGCTCTACAAGGACAAGCCCTGTGCTCCCGCACCCCTTGCAGAAAACAAACCGGTATGTGCTAAGGTTGGAGCCCCTCAACTCGGGGTGCGTGTCGTTGAGGGATCGTATCTGAAGTCTCTGTGCTTAGGACCTGGCAATTTGATTCCATGAGGCATACGCAATGCATTTGAAAACCACGCCGATCCAGATCTCCGGCTCGAAAATTGGAAGCACTGCCCAGATGGACATGCGCCAAGACTACGAAACCGCTTCCGGCAGCACCACCAGTCATCATCCTTATTCCCTGTTGAGCGTACATGTTTCAAGCACAGCTCTTCATGTCGACCTCTGTGTTGCAAACCCCTGCTGTTTGAGGATCATCATGTTAAGATCGTTATTCGAACAGAGGTCTACGCTACTCAGCAGTGACCTGGACTTTTATTTCCCGAAGAAGGGCCCCCCAGTACTCTTGATGGATTGAGGAAGTCTTGTACCATCTTGGGCATACAAAAGATCGCATTTTTTGAGCTTTCAGCTACTCAGGGTGGAGCGCAAACAGTGTTCACTCACAGAAAACCAAGCACCTTGCTTCAAATCTAGTGGCGCCACCATCTCTGAGACACTCTCATAACATGAACTTGGCACATGCCCACTCGAAGAAGGTTCCTCGAAAACGTTAACACGGAATACTGCGCATCCTGGCCTTCAGGTTTCAGATCGCTTCCGAAACTATAGACACATAGGCCCACCGCTATGCAACCTGAAAAAAGCCTTGGACAAGTCTCCCACGCTTATCCCCTGAGGCTATGAACTGAGAATGCCCATATTGAGTTATAGATTGGTGAGGCCAACCACAGCGCTATGAAACCAACTGCAAGGCCAGATACACTCCTAGGCATGACCGAGAATGGAAAAATTGCCTAGCCCTGAGAGAGCCGAGAACGCCTCCCGGGCATATTCCGTAAATTGGGGTCTTATGCTGAAAGTTCAGCGCTTTGAGTTTAGGGTTTTGCTTGTAAGGGTTTAGGTTCTGCGGTTTAGTATGGTTGCTTACGGTCCAGCATTTAGGGTGTAGACTTTAGGGTCAGGGCTTCACTTTTTCATTGGGGCTTAGGATTCTTGAGGCTGCGTGGACTGTTGAGAGAATGAACCCTTATCCTGGTGGATCGTATAACTTTGGGACTTGAATGGTTTGCTGTGTAACGATGAAACTTGAACTTCGAGATAAACACCACTCTTATATCCTTGGCCAGGGAAACGCTCATGCTCTGAGGGCTGAGATGAAACTCCTGTACACTTGCGGAAGAAGCCCTCCCAGACCCATGGTGGGATGCAACACATTTGCTTTCTCAGGCCCCTTGAATTTGTGGGTCTTTGGTTGTGGCGCCTGTGACCACCATCACTTCCATTCTCAGCGCTATCTTTTGTACCGAATCAATATGGTTATGAATAAACTATTGCCGTCTTGTGAGATTCACACACTGAACTCTGAACCCCCACCCCTGAAACCTGAGACCTAAACTATCTTGAGGCGATTCAGGATGAAAATACGAGGAATGTCAAAGTGCCTTGAAGGGTCATATCATGACCTTGAGTGGATGTTTTTCAGATACCGAACTGTCCGTGCTGACCCCTTGGAAGTGCAGTTGCCGCAGGCCATGAGACTGGAAAGATATCTCGAAAAAGGAAGCTTACTATTCATTAGTTCCGAATATACATACATACATACATACATACATTCATTCATTCATTCATTCATTCATACATTCATACATTCATACATTCATACATTCATACATTCATACATTCATTCATACATACATACATACATACACACATACATACATTTACACATTCATACTTTTACATACGTACATACCTATATACAGACTGAGCACTCTATTTTGTAGTAGGGTTCCAACAAATCCTGTACCAATCTTCACCCTGAGACCCCATAGCGTCCGGGTAGCAACCCAGGTCTCAGGCTCCTTGGCCCTCGGGCAGCACTGCTACCACCGCTGCGGCTTTTTGCGGCTGGACGCCTTGGCAGGATCTTAGAGATGTAAAGTCAAATCTGTAGGGTGATATTGGCTTCTAGGGTTCACTTGTGATAGTGGTATGGAGACGTGATGAACAAAAAACATATCTCCTCTGATGCGATTTGCTTCGGGGAATTCCAGTGGTTTGAGGTTTGTACATAAAAATCCCCATCATGGCCCACATGCTCGACTAGTAAGACACACGGCTAGGGCCTACAGGCTGCAGGATGCAGGGCGTAGGCGGGAGGATTTGAAGCTTAGCGTTTGGTTGCCTTTGGCGTGAACCCAAACCACATACAGATGCCGTCCATTTGAGGTTACTCTGAAAACGTCCTCTTTCTCCCTAAACCTTCAGCCAGATGAAGCCCTCATTCTGCTTCCACAAAACAACGTTAAAGCACCAAACCGTCTGGGAACTTGATCTTACGGGGAGTGAATATGGAATATGGGAATACAGTACGGATTATACAGGGCTCATATTCCATTACTCATACCGACTACGTGTATGTCTCGTGACCACATGCCTGGTTTAAATTGTGGATTATTTGCGCACTTGTTGATTGACATTTTTCTGATTGTAGCTTAGATCTTGCTTCCCCTACTGACACTCAACCCTAAACCCTAAGCCCTAAACCCTAAACCCTAAGCCCTAAACCCTAAACCCTAAGCCCTAAACCCTAAACCCTAAGCCCTAAACCCTAAACTGCGTAAGTAATCCGAGATACTGGTTCGAGAAGTTTTTCGAAGCGCACCATGGGCCGAGGTCAGGAGGCCAACCTTGGCGGCAGGGGAGGTAAGGGAATGGAAAGGGAAATAGGGTTTAGGGTTTAGGGCTTAGGGCTTAGGGTTTAGGGTTTAGGGTCTACTAAATGGGACATATTGTTGTATGGGTTACATAGGGACATAATGGAGGAGAAAATGGAAACCACGCTGAAATGCGACACATATATCATAGGGGTTCTACAGGGTTTTAATAGGGATATAAAAGGGATTTGAAACGAAAGTGGAAGAATCAACTGAACAAAACATGGAAACTGAAGTGGAACTGGTATAGAAATGAATGTAAGGCTGGCGAAATCAATCATAGAAAAGGCATCGGGGTATTTAGTACTATGATCACATAAGGGTTGCGTTGGCTAATTATTCAGGTTTCTGCAGCTTCATGAGAGCCAGCCACGATCAGTAGTTAAGGGTGTATGTGGCAAGTGGATACTAACAGTCCTGCATAACCCTAGGCGCCTCACACCCTGGGAATTACATTTTTTTTGCATGCCAAGGTCATGCTCGATAACCATCATCAACAGTAATGTCTGAGGTTTGGGGCTTTGTATGATGTTGAGGGCGGAGGCAAATGTGGAGATGCAGGGTCTAATGCGCAAGGTCAAGATTTCTGCCGCAATGCTCACTAAGCAGGACCTGGAATCTAGGGTCCATTCTCACATATCCCTGACCTTTGGACATGTAGATCTTTTGGTGCATAAGGGGGAGTTTGGAGTGGAAACCTGCGGTGCCATCCCTGAGATGGCCCACTCCCCCTTTTGCACCATAAAGAAGATGGCTTACCCTCACCATCGTTAAAGTGCCTCAGATTGTAAACAGCAGGCGGAAAAGCTCAGGACCATGCTGCAATGCCAGCGTACGAAAACCAAAGTGTCTAGAGCTTCAGAGCAACTCAATCCTGCAAAACTGTCTCATGACATGCACATGCCACTCGGCTCTCTTTCGTCTTAGCCTCAGAAAAGGTAGCGCATCTCAGAAAAGGTAGCGCATCTCAACAACAGCTCGCTGAATCAAGGCTATATTGAGGTTCTTGTTAACTTCAATGACGTTCATCCACAATCTATGATGAAAGCTTTTATTCGAAAAGCAGATTGCTGGGAGGCGGAGGCTGCGCACCCCAGCCTACCTTAAACCCTACAGCCTGCACTCTAAATCCCCCTCTCAGGCCGCTGCCACACCACAGAAAATCCAATCCAGGGGCGGCGTGCCCATATCACCGGCACCGGATTGGACGATCGAGAAGGTCTGACCTGTACTCTCAGGTTGCAACTCAAGGCTTGGGGCTTAGGGTGCTTCTCCTTGTTAGCCAGGTTTAGGCTTTTGAGTGGGGGCGGCTTTCTGGGTTTGAGGC